GTGCTTTCTTGGGTGGCTGGCCTTGCAGTCATGGGTAGATGAGTGACTGTATGGATGACAGATGGGTAGCAGCTGATGTAGCACGGGTGGATGAATTAAGCATAGGTGTGGGTACTCAGGCACGAACTCCTGAATGGATAAACGTAGAGACGATAAATCTATCAGCGAAGGGGAGCCTGAGTGATAGTACAAATACACTCGTGCACCCTCGGTCTGGGTGAAGGAATGAACGATGCTGCCTGCTGGACTTACGGCCACGTGTCAGGCAGGCTCTTGGGAGGGGAGTACACAAACAAGAAAGCTGTGGGGCCCACCCTCAGGGCAGACGGGTATGCCACAGGTAAACCCGGACCAGGTGCACTGAAATTGCCGCGTCCACAAAGTGGACGTCTCTTTTGAAGACTTCCTGGTGGAGGTGGCTTCTAGGGTGGGCTTGGGAGGTCCGCATATGATAGAAAGGCATTCACCAGGTGGAAACACCCTACTGGGTCTCACCTCTCCCCCACGTGACATCTCACACGCTTGCTGAGCTAAGTTTCCTACAGTACTTTGCAAAGTTTCTTTTCCTCCTGAATTGTTGGAATTCCAGAACAAGCCTGCAAGGTGGGTTCTATGACCCACATTCTGCAGTAAGAAAACAAGCTCAAGAAGGGAAAAAGGCCAGCCTGTAGTCTGGTGGTTAAGGGAACTAGATCCTGCATGGCTGACCATGTGGTTCGAGTCCCAGACCCAGAAGCTTGAAAAACACACTGGTCACCTGTGCATGCATGCCCAAAATCCCAGAAGAAGGGAGAGATGGATGAGGGATTGTGCAGTGACCGTGTGCCACGTGCTTCCCCAAAACCTCCGCCTCTCTCTGGCAAGCACACAGGCCCCCTGACAAATTTTTAAAAAAGGAGAAAGAGAAGAAAAAGGAGGAGGAGGCAGAGGAAGAGGAGGAGGAGAAGGAGGAGGAGAAGAAAGAGGGAAGAGGAGGAGGAGGAGGAGAGAAGGAAATGATCGCTGGTGTAGAGATGGAGCCAGAACACAGGCCTGAGGCCAGGACACCCCAGCGGAGGGGATGGCTCTGTCAGTTCCCCAGGGCTGCTGTCACTGGGACAACAAACTGGCCGGCTCCTGAGATGGAGATGTCAGAGCCCCAGGCATGGTCCTCCCTGCCTCCTCCAAGCCTCCGGGGCTTGCCGGCTGTTTGCCGCTCCAGTCTCTGCCTCCGCTGTCGCATGGCTTCACCCTCCACACGTGTCCGTGAATGCAGAATTCCCTCAGCTAGTGTACTGGCCCAGGGCCCGCCCTGACAGTGTGACAAGGACACCAACCCAGGGCTGTCCTGACCCCGTGTGACCTCGTCTTAGAGCAATTGCATTGGCAAAGACCCTGGCTCTCAGTAAGGCCACGCGCCCAGCTCCAGGCTCAGGATTTGACGCATCTTTCTGGGGGATGCGATTCCACCCACACCGGGCCCTCTGCTCCTCATGCATGAGTTCTTTGAGGAGTGCAGGGCCTGCTCCCTCATTTCTAGCCAAGTGGCCCCTGACACTAGGTGCAGGGCAGTCAGGATGGAAGCCCGGAACCAGGGTGTGAGCCGGTGTGTGAGGGCGTGCCTGTGGGTGTGCCTGTGGTGTGTGTGTCAGCTGGTGTATCTGTGGGACAGTGGAGGGAGAAGGGGTGACAGACCAGTGGCCTTAGTGCTGTCTGCCACCTGTTCCACCAGGTCGCAGCAGGTAGAGTGAGGCAGGAGGCCTCCGCCCTGAGTAGGGTCCTACCCTGGATGGCCCCAGGTGGCTGAACCCACCCTCTGTCCCACAGGGACCCGGGAGTCGGCCTTCGTGTATGCGCTGTCGGCCGCCGCCATCGGCCACTCCATCCCCCGGGCCCGCACCTCCCGCGACCCGCC